AATTTTATTCGAATAGTAGATGACGAATAAAAACAGCACACAGCGATTCATTTGCCAATTTAATCCAGTTTCCTATCCAATCGTTCAACGCGAGGTGTAACTTCATTCCGTAGCTCGTATTTTAATTAAGTATCACTCGTGTCGACAGCCTTGAGGTATTTATCTTTTGTGAATGCTTCAAGGCTATCGATACGAATTTTCTTCTTTTTTTTTTTTAATTTATATGTACAAATTTTTATCTCCATTCATTTATTCGAAATTCGTATCCTGATAAGATTTCTGCCCATCTCTGCGAGATACAATGATTACTAATAATGAACTATCGATAGCGAAGGGCTCGCCGGGTCGGATGTATGAAGCGCAGGACGCGCACCACAATCAATCTTAATTACCCTAAACATGGCTTGTATCGATAATTATCCACATCGAGCAGCGACTTCGACGTTCCTACTTTAACATCTCTTATTCATCTTTAATAAAAATATTCGGGGGTGGCGATCGAGAGCGAGCGTCGATGCAACCTGTTTCTCGAATCTGGACTTCGATGTGGGCAAAATTTCATTACAGTAACGAACGAACGAAACAAATCCACAACAATCTATTCATTTCGATCTAAATTCATCATAAGTAAATACTACAATTGTTTAATATAAATTTCATTTCTACTTGCTGCTCTGAAAACAACTTCTCCTATCGAAGACTATCAAGAATAAACGAAGAATTCTTCGGGAAGGGTTTCCTTTCGTTAACGACAAATTCTAATCTTTGCACGACGTACGAAAGAGTGTATCGTTTGTCCACTGACAATTTTTTCACCTAGATTTTGCCCATCGTTGAGAAATACCAGGGGTTGGATAAAGAGAAGAAAGACGGTTGCAAAGAAATATTGAAAAACAAGAGAAACAGTGATCGACTCGCTTGATCGACGTGTAATCCACCTGATAGAGATCATATGAAAGTACGATTACGAGCTATAATAATATCGCGCACTCGTTTAAAACGAATAGAAAGCTCGAGGGGTTGGCTTGGGGCTTTCGAAACGGAACGAGACTAAAGATAAAAAAGCGAGAGATTCGCTCGACACGCTCGATTCGAACGGGTTTGCCTCTGCGCGGGTGGGTCTTTCTCTTCTTTATTCTCAGTTGGAGGGTCGGGTCTCAGGTGGGGGGTACATTACGATATTCAATACGATTATTCGTTACGATAATCAGATATTTCATTAATAATTACGAAATCACAGTAATGCTTTGAGGCGCGGGGATCTCGGACGAGCGGGCTGCTTTTCGATCCACGATTGGTCACTTCCGGAAAAGTTAGGCTTTCCCATTCCTTTCCTTTCGATCAATGGAGACGAATGATTTCTATTAGCTCTTTGGATTACGTGACTCGAGGTAAATCATTCCAATTAACCCTCTGTTTCAGCGACCTGATAACTTTTTCACGAATTTCTAGGCCAACTTCGTAATTGATTATTTGACGAATTCTTGAATGAACTTCTAAACGAATTTCGTGACAGAATTATAAAACTTTTGCATCGGCATTCATAGAGGCGAAAGAATTCTACTAAAAGCGTCACTTTTGCCACCGTTAATTATTTTCTCTCGTTCGAAGCTATTCAAATTGTTCTGTTAGAAACGTAAATATTATATTCTAATTTGCGAATAATAATCCTCGATTGAGCACGTTGGTCAGAGGGTTAACGGTTACTTCGTCCAGTTCTGCGTTTAATCTAAACGATGTTAATTTCGCGTCACAGCCTGCCCCCCACGATCCACATAGTCACAGTTTCAGCTTTTCTTTTTATTCTAGCCTCGGCTGTCGTTCTCCGATCTTCGTCAATCTCAATCGATGGATCGTCTCTGAACAAGAAACACATCCTTCGTCATTACTAATTCGCGTTCTCGGACTCGCAATTTCGAGATATACGACTACCGGTATAATTTTACAGTACGCGCACGGTACGCCTCGAATACAGTATTTCGATAACAATATATACATACATACATACATATATATTATTATCCAAATATACCATTTAAAAAATATATATATAAGTGTTTTCCATTATATATATATATATATAATTTTTACTCATATTTATTTATATTATTAATACGCTCTCAATTATGGCTGACTACAAGGCTACGTAAAAAAAAAAAAAAAAATGCTCCTACAGGGTCTCATCGTTTCTAAAGCATGGTAAAGGTAAACCGAAAAACGAAACGAACAGAGGCTACTAAATCGCAAATAGATAAAAAAGGAGAAACATCGAAATAAGATTTGGGAGACGGAAGGGGGGGGGGGTGAGGAGTACATAGAGAATTCTCTCTCTCTCTCTCACTTTCTCACTCTTTCTCTCACTCTTTCTCTCTCTTCCTTTCCTTTGGTGGGAATGCTATTTAATAATATAAACTTTCGTGTAAACGAGCCCCCGTTTAAGGCTGGCTCGTCACGATGCCAATGGCAATTACTATCTTATTTGATCACAATTTTACGACGATTCTGCTCACTCTCGCGTTTACCCCCTCCTCGGGTAAATAGAGAGGAGAGAAGAAAACTCGGTCGAAACATAAGAGATTCTAAAACGACGAAAGGCCGGAGACAAGTTGCTGCTTGAACCCAACAGAAAAATCTGTCCGACGAGGAGGTTAGACACGAGGGAACCGAAAACAGCGTTAGAAACTTTGGAATATCTCGTTGAATACAATAAAAGCACGACAGTGATCCATCGTTCGATAAAATTACCATGAACGGAATTCGAACCAAGTGGAAATCGGTAAACCCCCTTCAGACCACGTGACAACAGATGATCGCATGAATTTTACTTTGTGCATGTTCAAAATTAAATAAAAAATACTGTATGTTCGACGAATGGTCTCTGTGTTCGTTTTCGTTATCAACATATTTTTTAGTATGCATTAAAATATTCGTCTGGATGTTTTAAAATTGACTTCTACTTTATCGCAATGTACTTTTGGAAAAATAATAATTTTCCACCATTATCAGAGACAAAGCTACCGATCAAGATTAAAGGTAAAATTCTACGGCTGTTATATATAATTTGCGCTATTTGCCGAAGCCGAAAAACGAATCGGATCTGAAGGGGACGAACCTGAAAAGAAGGTACGAACGATTCGCCGTAGGGCTTACTTAAAAGTTATAAATCTTCGTATCACAAAGCCGAACCGGGAAACGCAAATGGAGAATGGCTCACCGCAGAACTTGTGCTCCCCAGAAATACGTCTATTTCTGATGACGAGAGAAGTATTCTCGTGAAAATAATACGCTAGTCTAGTACGTTAACTACGTGAACATCTCTAGTAATTCGTCCGTCGATATCGTTTCAAGATTCGCGGCGACGATTGAAAACACGGTTCGTAAAGACTTTTCCCCCTTTTATTTTTTTTATTTTATTTTATTTTTTTTTTTTTGTTACCTTAATTCGATTATCGGATATTCTACGTTGCTATTTCTTATATCTGGAGTAACTAGTTGGACGATCTATACTGATTCTATGGAACGTCGGTCTCTACGGCGAGTACCGAGTTTAGAAAACGTTGAATCGAAAGGAAAAGAGCAGAAAAACGGAAAAACGCGTGCGTGCGTGCGTGCCTCCTCAAAGAAGCACTGTTTATTTAGGGGGCTGACCAGGGTTTCACTTAAACGCAACCTTAACCGCATTTAAGTTTATATATTTTTTTTTTTTATCTTTAAGATTAATGTCAGTAACATACTCTTCGCGAAAAATAGACAATTAGACACATATACAGATATATGTGTTTCCTATTAATAAATATTATTACTTTCTATACACTGGAATACTTCGACGGAGATACGTCGCGTAATCTTATCCGTTATTTTAAGTGGAAGAGGCAGAGGCAAACAAACAAAAATAAAAAATAATAATAATTATTATAGTAGTAGTAGTAGTAGTAGTAGTAGTAGTGGTAGTAGTAGTAGTAGTAGTAGTAGTAGTAGTAGTAGTAGTAGTAGTGGTAGTAGTAGTAGTAGTAGTAGTATTAATAATGATAATGATAATAATAATAATATAGCGATAATAATAATAATGAAGATCGTAATAAAAAAAAAAAAATAATATTAATAATTAAAAGAGAAGTCTTTACTCGGGAGACAGAGACAGATAGAGAGACAGATAGAACGGTCCACGGGAATATAGTATTCGTATCGACAGCCTTATGATGATTTTGGTTTCATCCCGTCGGGGGACCCGTCGTGACGGGGAACCCGGACAGGGACACACACTATCCTTTATTTATAAATTCCTCTTCGAAATTCTAAGAACGTTCTCGGCACGCGAGACTCCCGTTCCGAGTCGCGAACATGAACAACGACGGAGACCTAAATACTCTAATACGCGATATCAAAACGTTTAATTACAGATTCGCAAGGATCGACGAGTAACAAACAAAAGCAAAAGAAAACAAAAAACAGAAAAGAAGAAGATGATGAATTAAGAAACGGAAGAATGTAGACGAGAAGGCGAAGAGAAAGGGGATAGGGGAAGTGGAAAGAAAGAAAGCTCGAAAATTTCTCGATGGTGAGTCGAACAAGAAGAAATGGGAGAGGTGAGAAGCGAAAAGGGACGTCGATTGGAGGGAAGACCGATGAGAGTAAGCGAAAAACAGGGTAAAGAAGCGAAAGAATCGGCAGACGGAGGCAAGAGAGTCAGAGAAAGAGCGACACGCGGGAGAAAAGGGTTGAAAACCCATCTTGTTCCAGCGTGCCGTGAAAGGCGTCCTTCGTGGACGAGGCCGCCACTAAGAGCTAAGCTACCGGAGATCATTAAGAAAACTGTCCACGGGAGGCGCAGCGAGCCAATTAAGATGCTGCGATCCTCGACCTATCGATTATCTACTTTAATTATAAACGTCGACTTATTACTGAATTTTATTATTTTTAGTTTAAATCCTCTATACAATACGGTTTTACTGCTCGTTACTACCTGCTCGAATCGCGCATCGAACGTCTTCTCTTTTCACTTATTTTTTTCATTTTTTTTTCATTTTTTTTTCATTTTTTTTTTTATGGAATACACTGAGAAAACTCCCTCCCGCGAAATACTATCTATGTACAAACGACTCAACCGCCACCATGGACGCCTGGCGATCCCGATCCTAGTCCACGATCGCGCACTCACACAACGGGACCACTGTTGGGAACTGAGAGGAGCGAACCTAGCTGGCCATTGACAAGAATAGTCAAATCTAGCTAACTGCAGGTCGATTTTTACGAAACTTCGTGCACAGATATTTTTTTACATGCGGATATATTTTGAAGGGATGAAAATCACCCTTGGAGTAGTGAACGAAGCACATTGGTTATAATTCAATTATAAATATTATTTTGCTCGAGTAATCCGAATGTAAGACTGCAATCTTAAAAGGAATCTTAAAATAAATGTAGTAACTTTAATTTTAGAGAGATGCTTGTTCAATGCATTTTTTTAACTGTCTCTAAATATTTAGAAAATTAGATATTTTTTTAATTTCCTTTAATTTTTTGTAATAGCCAATCTAACAGTGGTGCGATTTTTTATTTCCAACTTAGGATAGAGGATAGTTTTCACCACCCTAAACATGAATATTTATCGATTACGAAAAACATGTGTCTATGCATGTTTCATCCATGCACCAAGTTTTATAAAAGTCAGAGATCATAGAGACCTACGTTAGAGACGAGAGCCGTTGTCCTTACCTGGTGGCACCACCTCGGGTCCCATCGCATCAGCTTCCAACATTACAGGCATGCGTTCACGTGACTTGAAATCGTGGCATTTTTCAGTCGTGACAGAGGGACATCTTTTGCTGATGTCTACACGCAGTTTTCTAACACATTCGTCACCATCTGAAGTGAAAGCATATCTAACGTACAATAATGCAAATTCTGACGAGAGGCAAAGTATTAAGACAGAATAAAATAAATAAAACATATGTAGATCTGAAAATGAAAAAAAAAACTATCTATAATTAATTACTTTTCCATGTTCCGATATTTAAAAAATACTCGCGAAGTATACTCACGAAGATACGAATAGTATAATATTATTCCAAGGATCGAAGCTGTCAAATAATTAATATAAAAAATCAAATTTGATTTCGTGTTACCTGAGAATCGATCAGAATCCTAAGACAACGTGACATCCAAGGCAGCGAATATCACCTCTGTCAAACCGATAAAAGCAACGATTTAATACCACGCGAGAACGCAGCCTAAGTACCCAAAAATCGAGAAGTCGATCTGACATCGAGCCTCGAATACCTCGATCTCGGAGTTCTTGTCGAACCTTCCCCGTTGAACGCTTCAACAGCGAGAAGAATTTCGACGACCTCCACGGTCCGGCATGTGGTCCAATCCACGTTAACCCTACCTTTCGGACATCGCGCACCTTTCGACCGTTCGCGAGACGACGTGGCACGGCGTCATTATATCTCAGATAGAGTTCTGCTAGCCCGTAGCGGCTAGGTAATCGCGTTATCTACAAGCACGTCGATATACTTCCTACCGACGGCAACGGGACAGATAGGTGTTTCCTCAAAACAAGAAAATAAATGACGATGAAAAAGAATCGTGAGAAAGAACGAACAGCAATAAAACGGAGATAAGAATAACGACGCTCTATCTGTCCCGTTCCCGCAATCACACTACTTTATTTAATTCTCTTTATTTTATATCCGTAATGAGATCAACATTTGATTATTCGGTTATATAGATATCCTCTTTGGATATTATTTTGGATGCTCCCCCTCACCTAAAGACCCGCGTCGCGACCCGATCGCCACCCTTGAACCTCGATTACCTGACGATCGTCGCCTACCCTGCGACAGGAAGCCGAACGATCGGTCGAAACGTCGGTTTCGATGATGATTCCGCTGCGATCGAGACTGCACGTGGACTCGGCCCCAGACTGCGTCTCGCGTCGATCGACCTTTCAGCGCTCGAATCGCGATAGATCGCGAACAAGGAGCCTTTAGGTCTTGCGAGCGAAGGAATCGACCCCAGGGGAAATGTTTCCAGAAACGACACTCTCAGTCGCTACTTTCGTCAAAATGCTGTTGGACTCCCGAATATCTGGGCTTCCTGATTGAGGCGGTAATTTGCAAAATTTGGTTAGATTCGAATCGTTAAAGAGCAAATAAAGAACGAAACGTTTGCTTCTAGAATAAAAAGATGGGGTTGATATTCTTTCGATCGAGTTCACGTTCGGATAGGCTATCATAAATTTGGCGTTAATTTTAAATTTAGTATCGAATCATAGAGTTAATAAAGACTTTCGTTCGTTGTTTAGAATTTTTCAGAGTATTTGGCCCGTGTTTAGGGAGAGCACGCTCGTGCCATCGACTAGCGAGTATGGCGAAGAACCCCGTCAACGAAAATGCATGGGCCTAGCCGGACCGCTTAACGACATTAGGACAATGCTTTTAACCGCCTCTGCAGGTCCCCCACCAACACAGTTGGATCGTCGCAAGATCGGTGACACGAGCGAAACCTCGAACCCACGGGTCGACTCTGACGGGAGGTTCCCTCGAGTCGATTCCTTCCCTCGCGGATCGGATGGGACCGACGACGAGGATCGCGCTTTCGATCGTCCCTAGGTCAGAGCAACCGACGATCGCAGCGATCGTTGTTCCTCGATCATCGATGCGCTTATAGGAAACATCAAATGGTAATTGGCATCAGGTAATAGTGACTCTGGGACGGGCGAGTAGCCGATGCGTTCCCGTTTTCATCGTCCTCGTCGTCGGTCATGCCTCTGTATCTAACTTTGCCTGTGGCACCTTCGCCGTATTCTTCGTCTTCTTCGTCGTCCTCGTCCGTCTCGCAATCCGAAGAGTCACACTCTAAGGGCCAGAGGCGAAACGGCACGAGTGCAATCTCGACCGCAAGGCGCATAATGCATATACACAAAGAAAATACGTAATCGAAATGAAGATCTTGTCCATTCTCGGCGCGACAAGACGTCCTCCCGCGCAAATCGTTCGATTCAGCCACGGATGGCGTTCGAACGTTACATTCGCCCGCGACTCCTTCGGCCGTGGCAGAGATCTTCGAAGAACCTCCTTTACAACCTTGAAGAGGATTCCCCGAAGTGCTGGAAGGACCTGCCGGCCCACCAGGCGACGCGTCGTCGCGACGGCCGTTCAGGGTGCCGTTCCAGGCGTCGATCACCACACTTCTGGCTCTGGCATCGTCTTCGTCGCCGGTGACGACGATACGATGGGACTCCAACATCTATCGCAGACGCGACACCAGCCTCCAGCCGAGGTAAAGAGCCACTGTCGTCCACAGAGTCTCGCGGAGCGGCGCCGGAATCAACAACGACAGGATGCTGTCCGTGGATCCGCCGGTGTTGGTGGTGTTCGCGAATCCGGAGTTCAACGCTGGCAGTCGAGACTTCTCAATTTCGGCGGCCTGGAACACGTAAGGTGAAGTGATTCTGTCAGTATGAGTCAGAGGATAATTCGATGAATGGGGATATTTCTCAACTGAGAAGAAAGATTCGATCCAATGGAACTTGATCAACAATCAGAGTTGAAAAGTGCTTTGAGATTGCGAAAGATCAACACTGCGGAGAAGAAGATTACTTGTAAAAACGTAGCGCAAAATTAATGCAGGATGTCACAATGCATTATTTTTCTCAACACTCTCACTGTCAAATTTTGCATTTATAATCATCCCCCAGCTGTAACAGTCACGTGGGAAACTGTGGTACGAATAGGATCTCATTCTCAAGACAATATTCGATAGTCCCTTGGAATCCGTGAGTATTCAGTTATCAACTACTACAACCCAGTAATAAATATTTAAAAACTTTGGATCGTTGAATATAATACTACTCGAGCAAGCTCCGCCAAAGAAAACCTCGTTACCAACTCCCGAGGTTTCCCCTCTTGAAATCCAGTTTTCGCGATTCTTCCGCGAAGATTTGTCGAAGGCTTGTCGTGCTTCTCGAAGCAAGAGTCGGAGGAGGTGAAACGGGGAATGGGAAAAGAGGAGAGAACGGGGCTAAGGCTCCTAATTGGGAGTGTCCTAATTGGACGGAATTACCGTCGATTCGACGCTCCTTGCGGCTAAGCCTCGGGGCGCGGAGAAAGCATCACGGTCTTTTTATCGAGTTCCCTTATCCCTTCGAATTTACACGAGAAGACGATACGCTCGAGGGGAACGGTGGCGCGCGATTAAGGTCCATCGTGACCCCCTACAAAGAGTCGTGCCATCCGCGCGAAATACAAATCGAAAGCCAGCGCATTAATGCCGGTTAATTGTCAATTAATTTCCACTTTGAAGAACTCAATTCTCCTCGAGAATCGCCTGCCACCCCCTCGCACCCCGGACAAAAGGCCTCCGATTGTGACTTCGGCGAACGATTCATTATCCAATTAGTCATTAAGGACGAAATCGGCTCGAAGGTTATCGATATCGCCCGCGATTCGATCGCTACAGGAGTTACCAACTCATCGAGGAGCAAGTTGAGCTTGAGTCCACTCGTTACGATATTTAATCGTATCGAACAGTCCCTTGGCCTCTTGCCTGAACTCGAAGGGTAATGTTGCTTGAAACGATGAAGACTATGGATGAATGGCGAGCTTCTTCATCAAAGTCCAGGGATCTTATTTACATAAATTTAGAAGCATTGTATCCACTCTTTACAAAATTAAACCTTGATGAGATCCCTGAACTTGGTGAAATAATATCGTCCATGTCTCTTAGTCTCATTCGATGTAGCAGTAAAATAAACGAAAATTGTGCTCCAACAACTCGATAAATAAAATACTCGAAGATGATTGCCTAGACATATACCCTACCTAGCCCACCCCATCTTGTTAAAAACAATCAGGTGTATCGAAGAATGTCAAGAACCAACGTTCCTCTTCAGCTATTTCTGCCTCGTCCAAGCAGACTATAGTTGGGAAACACTGATCTAGCCGATAAGCTGGTGCCAGTAATATTCCCCGCGAGCAATAGTCTCGTATCTGCTCTCGCGTGTTTCTCCCGTGGCTAGGGTCCGTTCTCTTTGTTTCCTCGATCACACCCCCGGGTTCAGGCGCGACTTCCGATCCTCGTTTCGTCTTAATCCACTCGTGGTTGCCGGACGTGCAATAATAAACGTCGTGAAACGGGGAAAGCTCAATCTCCGAGCAGAGGCTTTTATGGGGTTGGCCATAATATCTGGTCATTGTCGGGTTCGATCCACACCCCCGCGCGACCACTCCTTGGTTTCCCGCGCGTGTGTGGACACAGGAGAGAAAAACACTCGAGAGACGCGCGAGAGAAGAGATTACGCGCCGAGACCTCGAGGGCGGAGGCAAGAGAGCAGAGGAAAGCGTCACATTAAGAAAGAATTATGGTCCATGGACTCTTCTCGTGGGAGTCCTCCTCGTCAATTAATACCGGCCCTTTCTTCTCGCCTCCACTCGCGGTTCCTTGTCTCTTCGACGAATCCCCGTACCAGTTCACGCTTTATGCGATTCATCGAGGAAACAGGGTATCGCCTCGAGCTCATAACGCTTCATCTAGAACAGGTTATTCCACAAGAAGAATACTGTCCTCTAGAATATGGAAGAGTTGTTTCTTTGGGGTCGTCGTTTTGATTTCTTTCGCTTTAATCTAGTGGCGGGAGCTAGGCTTCACCGATAGCTTTGCTCTATGAAAAAATGTTTCATTAAATTCTAATTTAAATATTTGAAATTCGAAACACGAGGACTTCATCAGTCGTGTCTTGTCTCAAATAATAGAAGCTAACGTTCTTGAATCTGGAGCGAAGAAATATTCCAAGACCTAGAGCTGACATTTCGCTAACGAAACATTACTTTCACTCTTTAATATCAAAAAGAACGATAGAGAAATGTAGAAACGAGTCCAGACGGAGAATTTTGCTACGGGTCAAAAATGACCCGCCATCTTCTTGCGCCCTACCGAGTCCTCCTGTTAGGCGATCATTTCACGCGTCTCGAGCGTTTATCGAGCCACCTGCGAGACTTTCTCTCTTGACGCTAGGCGTATGAAAAGCCGACGGTCGGGTTTTATTGCTCGAGGCCCGGAAGAGAACGCCCGCTTGGGCAACTCGCGCGGTTTCGCTCGCGCCTCGTCGGCGGTAAACGTGAAATTTATGCGCGACCTGGTCGCGGGAATTACGTTGTCGGAGTTCACCAGTGTTGGTAAATTTTAATTGTTCGGGACGGGGCGAGGAATTGCTCAAGAAGCTGGACACCAGATTGCTGCAGACTGACGTTTTTCGTCTTCATGGTTCGCTACTTGCGATATATTGCTGATCGATTCGATATATCAGTGAAATGAAACCATGGGGCTTCGATAAGCAAAATATTTGGTGTGTGTGAGAATTTAATGACGGATTTTGGAAGGTAGCTGAACAATATTTCCAAGTTGTACTTTGGAATGAGATAAACGTTAAGAGACATTTGAGAAATAATTAGAATTCAGATTAATTGGTGCAGATTCAAATTTTCTTCAGCTTCGCTCTGAAACCTATCAAGCAGACTTAATTTTCCCAAAAATTTTCTCAAAACATTTTGGAATTTATAGAGTAAAACGAAACCCAACGAGGCCAGATATGTTCCAGTAAAAAATCAATATTTCTGCCGCTAATGAATAATTAGCCTCCTCTCGAGTAATAAAAAAAAAAAAACTGGATCGAGGACATCCATGCACTTTATATGGATCCATATTTTAAAAGGATATGGACAACTTTGACCCCGTCACAAATTAATCGTCTATTTTCTGGTCTACCATTTATGCAACTGTAGCTTCGTTTTCGATTCGAACTCTCGTCTGCGCGTTCGTAATTGGAGTACCGTTTGGAAATATTCTTGACAACAGTCGAACCGAGTAGCAGGGAAAATTTCGTTGAGAAAAATTCTATTGTGCTGCGAGAAACGAAAAGTAAGCAGCGAAGTAGCAACTCGCTCCTAAATCTTACAACATACAGAACCTTACGACACGCGGATTGGCTTGGTGAATGACTGAACGACTGCTTTGCCGATTAACCCTTAGACGCTCGCCGATATTTCGCCAGGTGTGGTAATTGCTAGGAAACTTAGGCGATCGATCGTGACCGGCTATTAATAATGTTTCAATTCCACTCGCGACTTACTAATGGCAGCGCAAGGCTGCGTTAAGTAGATAAACCTACGGTTAATGCTTTCTTCGACAACTGGCACCGATATGTCTGCAAAAAAACATGCTTATCTAACCAGAGGGATTATAAACTCGAGAGTAAGTTGAATGTTTGCTTTGTAGCAATAGTAATTATAATTCACGATCGCTGAGGTCTAATAAAGTTTTGTCTCGACGTTTTCCAAGGGAAGAATTTTCAACAATCGAGAGGCTAGCGTCAACTCCACTTCTGAAATTAATTAACACAGAGACTGCCATCCGCGTTTTTCACGTCTAGGGTTATCGTGATGTGAAAAATAAAAGAATTCAGTAATTCATCGAGTCACTGCTATTTTCTGACGATCCAAAATCGTTCGAAGCAACGTTAATAAATAAACACAGTTGTCTGATCCTCTCTATAGCACAAAGCAATGATAAGTCTAGCGCTGCACAAGAAACGAGCATCTAAAACCTGGGTTGTGGATCGTTTTAACAAAGCTTGCTCGAGTTGCAGCGATTATGAATAATAAAAATCCCGGCAATTACGCGTACTCCTCGCGATAGCCATTACCCTCCAGGTGTGTACGGTGCGCGGCAACGACGGGAAGGATAAATAAATGCCCCTCTTGTATCTCCGTTGGAAGGCAGGCAACAGCTCGCGACTACTGGAAGCCAGGAGGGATTATTGTGCAACGTAATTGCGCTGCTCGGCGTGGAAACGACTGATCGAGCAGTCGCGTTTCGTCGAGCCGCGTAAGAAAAAGCCAATGGAAAACGGAGGTTTGCGGTCGGGACACCGAGCCGGGCTTGGCCAGCAAATACGCAACCGTGGAACAACAACGAACGATAAAATCCGCGGTTCGACCTGGTAGCGTGCCAGTCATCTAGAAGGAAGATGGAAATTTCCCAACTTTTTCCGCGGTGTGGACCAACTGGGCCCTTGACCTGATAGGTCAAGGTTTGGAAGAAATCGTAGATGATATTTTTAGCAGCCAAAGAAATTTTGATGACGAGTGATTTGAATATAGAAAAGAAGTATGAATTTTTTAACGTTAGGCAGAGGAGGCTTAAGAAACTCTTATAATCTTTGTGTCAACGAACATCAGTTTCATCGTGAAATAAAGAAATACCTATGTTCCTTCTTGACGATATACAAGAGCAAACTATCAGAGCTGTTAAACATTTGACAACGCCTACAACCTGTTTCTTGAAGTCCCCATGTGTCTAAATCACCAAGAAAAAATAAACAAAGAGTAAAACTATTATCAAATAAATAAAAAAAAATCTTTCAATATCCACTACCGTCTTCCTCGGAGATACCTGGGAACGGGACTCGGCGACAACCGCTGCAACAAGCCTTAAAATCCCAGATCGTCGAAGAAACAAGCGATTTTCTTGCGAAGGAAGAAAAGTCGAGGTTTCTTGCCTCCACGGCCAAGGGATCCGTTACGCTACCGAGTGTCTGGCGTCTAATGTATCAATTTGCGCGTCGGCCGATCGTTTAAATAACTGATAAATGTCGGCGGAACGTTTCATTAGCCGCGAGCCCGGGCAAATTGCTCCCCCGTTCGCGGAAATCTGTTGCACCAGCCAGGAGGAATATTTTATCCTGTCCGCGGCGCGGGCAATTTTCTGCCCGTCGCTACAAATGGGTTTCGTTCAGCTTCGCGGAAAAAGAAGAGGCAACGCACCCGCGCGCATGGAGCTGGGATGTCCGATCCCCCTCGACGAGAGTTTGCCGCGAGTTTTTCTTTGAGACTGAAAGAAGCCTCGTGGATTTCTCGAAACGAGCACGCATCGAGGTTCTTTGGCCCGTTTCGCCTCCTGGGACGCCCTTTAACGTCGCTTCTCGGAACGTATCTCTGCGAGAATTCGGGAAATACTTGGCAATCGTTGCCTTTTGTGCGACTCGACATGCAGATAAAGGCTTGAAAATATTTGATAGAAGGCTAACTTCTATCTCAAGTCAGCTGTATCCTATATAGGAATATCTTCGAAACTTTCTTAATCCGAAGAATGTTATTTAAATTCTTTATTTTACATGTGAACTGACTACTTTCTTCTATTACGATTTCCTTTCGATACCCAATCAATTCTCTAAATCTTCTAAACGGATACCTCAACGACAAATGAAGTCGTTACGATACTACGATACTTCGGAACGTGCAGGATCTTCCTGAATCTCTGCGACGAAGATCACGGCAAGGTTCGCGAGTCGAGTGCGAGAAGAGAATCGCAAGCGAGTAGGATAGGAGGCGAGAGAAAGGGGGCCTACGATTGCACGAGATAATTGAAGATAATTTTCTCGGCCCGTGGCCACGGCTCGTGCTGCCATGCCCACTTAACTTTCACGTAAGGGGATGTGACCACTTAGCCGTTACATGCTCGCTTGCTCTCCATGCATATGTAAAGCGGTGGCTTCCCATGACGAATGGGGAAAGACGGGAATTCGCGGTCGTAACTTACGCACGACGACGTGTTCCACGATCGACCTAGCCTAAAGCTCGTAGCGAGATATCAGGGAACATCGCAGCATCTGGTAAAGGGAGTTATAAGACACTAAACTGAAAACACCTGTTATGGACCAAACAACGGACTTCACCTCACCTATGACTTGGGGATTTCTTTATCGAGACTTGGATGGTGGTTTCCATCTGTATTACTTTTGAGAAGATTACACCTAATATCTATTCGAATAGTTTTCTTCCCTTAGGTGTGAATATGAGTACATAAACCACCAGAGAGGCTTGCAAGCGTATGATTTTAAGAGCTTTCAATCTAGAATTACAATATCGTACGTCGACGCTTGTTTATTTTTTCTTGGTGATTTAGACAGTTGAGGACTTCAAGAAACAGAGTGCAGGCGTTGTCAAATGCATAAACTTGCTCACAAATGTATAGTACGTTACAAAGTCTTAATAGACCTTATATATTTCTCTTTATTAATATAAACTCTGTCCTCCGTCTTAAATCCTACAATATCGCCCATTAAATGACTAATCTTCCTGCTTAATGCACTATCCGAATCAGCATCTTCAAGTACAAAGGTGATTGAATCCACAAAAATAGAATGAAAATAAGTAAGTATCCTAGATACCATTAAATTAAATGAAACAATTTGAAGAAACACTTGAACAAGGGACAATGAACACCATAGGACAAGGTGTTCGTCCCTTAACAAAGTACGTCGAGGATGCTGCACAACCCGAGAACTCTCAAATCCAGCGACTAACAGACATAAAATTGGCGATAAAACACCCAGCAATAATAGCTTCCATTCCAATTCTCTATAAAGCGACGCTAACGCCAAGCTCCGACTTTACGATCCTCCCGTCTGACGTCTTCGGGAAGACAACTGCGTAACACAAATATATAAAAGTAGAAGAGAGGAGGAATCAGGATAGAGAGAGGAATTCGTGTTAACGTCCCAAAGTCCACGAAACAGAGCACATCTCTCTCTCTCTCTCTCTCTCTCTCTCTCTCTCTCTCTCTCTCTCT